CTTTTGGGACAAGTAATGCCCGGTCAACCAACAGAGAAATATCCAATGGAGGGGGGATAAACCATGCATGTTAAGACTTATACCTTTATTGTCAGTTACTATATAAAAGAAAATATCAATCTAGCAAAAAGAATAGACATTTTCCTGACACTTTTATTATTATTCACTGGATGTATGACTGGAAAAGACTGTATCAATTAAATTGTGTCAACAATGTTGATAGGTTTTTCGGGTAATTAAACCATTTCTATTAAAAATGTCTTATGCTACTGGAGAAAGGCGTCAATATATGTTTAATTATGCCAGGGTGTCGAAGATGACAAGACAAAACTTAAAGCAAACAAGACTGTGTCCTGCTGGTAGAGACTACAAACTACCATTACCAAATGTATTGAGGACCCTGAGACCCCAGAACAGTGTGAACAAAGTCAAGATTTCCTGCCAAATCTCACAGATTTTTAATACATCTTCAAAACCAGGCAGCAAACAATTACTCAGACTAAACTGTAATTACATAAATTCTAACACCATTTTAATTGATAGGAAGTGATTTATGGATTTTCCTTACCTAGGAAAGCTTAAGTTCTCTGCTGTTAAAATTTTATAAAGTGGAGTTTGAATGTACAATATGTCGGGGGCTTTCTGACATTGAGATCAAAGTACAGAATAGAAAAAGCCGGCCAAAATAAATTGTTTTGTTGCATGCTAATCTTCTTCTCAAAAGTCAAAATCTTAGCAAATACCAGTTTTCCGTGATCAATAATACAACTTACCAGAAACACTAATCCCTCTACCTGCCTGGCCAATCCCAAGACACTGAAATCTAACAAACTACCTTATCAAATCCCAAAGTTACAGAGCTGTGATAGAGTCCCACTTACAGAAGACACATTTTCCTTTTTGGACTATTGAATATAATTTATGGTATGACCCCCCCCCCCTCCCCCCGCCGCAAAAAAATTATACAAATGTGAGACAGTTTCTTAATACCAGTGCTGTATGTACTACCATAAATCTGGAAATTTTTCCTGTGATAGATTTTTAGCAAATTTGCAGGTTCACTGCATTCGCAAAAATGTTTTTCTTAAAAATAATTCAACAATAAGAAAATGTAAACAAAGTAGTGGTCATTCGCAAAATTTTAAAACCTAAAAATTAATTAACACCAGATTCGCAAAATAAATCGACGCAAAAATTTCCAGATTTACAGTAAATATCATAAGCATACAAAAACAAAAACATATCAAAGAAATTTACTGAAAGGTATGAATTCAACTTGAAGCATTTTCCAAGAACATGCATTTATCGCTGACAACATGAAGACCACTGTAAGTGAGGTATTGAAAGTGTCAAGGTCATAATTTTAAATCTTCAATTGAAAGGTCAGAATTCAAAGTTCATTTTTAAGATTATGCTTAAATAACATTGGTCATTATTTGAATAAGCTAAGAATTATTCTAATCTCATTTCAACCATGGCCAGAATGGAAGAGGATTGCACATTTTGGCCAATTGGTTTGCAATGTGCTGTTTGAGATAATAAAGTTCAATTGTTACAAACAACTTTTTGAAATATCTTTTTTATAAGATTTCAAACATGCATTTCAATGCAAAAATTAAATCTCATTGAAAAATGTATACACTGAAGCGACTTGGGTCATTAACTTTATGATTTATGATAAGCAATTTTTAAGAATGTAAGTTAGTAACTTTGACTATAATACTACATTCATAACTAAATAATTTAATTCTGTTTGTATTCTTGTCTCTCATTGGTTGATTTCCAAAAAGGTCATAACATTTTTAATTTTTTATGGGGACACACCCCCTTGACAACCAGCTGAATCATCTGTATCCATCAATCCCCTCATTTCCAGTCCTTCGGATTCATGAAAAATTCCAGATTTAATGAATGTACCTTTAACTTCAAACAGTTGCTCGATCTTACCTCATGTAGACAAGCACATGGCTGCTAGATCTATGTATTAGTTTTTACCTCCCCTTGCTTCCCATCACTTCCGTTACTACGGTTGTATTATTGCGCGGTACATTTGAACTAATAAAAACAACACAATTTTACATCCCCAGTTGTTTAATTATTTTAAAATTAAATTTTAAGGAATGACTCTAATTCTTGGTCATTTACTTATTTACTGATAAGCAATTTTTAAGAATCCGCTTCGCGGATTATAAAGCGTAACTTGAACTACAGTGTGTGGGAAATGAAAATTAAAAAAAAAACTCCTTAAATAACATAGGTTAAAAAGTCTATCAATAGTTATTATGGAGAATATTTTTGAAAATATCTATTTTTTTCATGGTCCATAAACAAAATCAAACTAGATAAAATTTGGATGAGCAGTCACCAGGGGAAACCGGAAAATAATAAATCAAATGGCTAATGGTGAAAATTACCTTTGGGCAACCACTATGACAAAGAGAAAGCTAAAGACAATTATCTCAAAATGGGACCAAATATTGGGCATAAGCCATGTCATGCTTGCATCAGTGTTTATTCTATATGTGACCATGTTAAAGCTTCGTTGACCACTTATGGTAGTGATTATATCAGTGAGAGGGAATAATATTTTCTTTTAATTTATAAAGGTACAGAGTGTTTTTGTGGGGAGATCCTAGCTACTGGCTACAGGACTTGCCCACAAGATGGAGACAGATAGGAAAGCATGACGACTAGCCATACTGTCCATAACAATCAAAGCACTCAAGAAAATTAACACAAAAATGTGGGGTGATTTCAATTTGGTTATCAAAGTCCAACCGAAAAATGTATTAAAGTCATAAAAATTCATAATATCTCATGTCAAGTCATTTTTAGCATTCCCTTTTTGTTTTTATTTTTATCTTTTATGGAAAGCTAATTTCAAAACACATGCAATATACACACATACAAACAATATATTAAAAAATATCCATGTACATATTTAAATAGTAGCTGCTATAAGTTTACAGACTCTCAATTTTTGTCCCCAGGCTCTGGAATCCAATAAAATCCCTGTCCCAATAGACAGCAAACTTACTGTCATAAAATCTCGTCTCAATTACCACACCTTTTACTGGGTGGCTTTGAAAAATTTAATTGAACAAGTTTGTGTATTGAAAAGGAGAGTTAATTATACCATCATAAAGAGGTCTGGGGGTATTAACTGGCCAACTCCAAATTCCTAATCAAAAAGTACACAATTTATCGACTTCATTTGCCTATTTGATGGCATATGTTGACTACCTCCAAGAAGGTGGGATATATAGACCTTTATAAACTGAGATCATTTATCTCATAAACTTTCAGATCAATCCATTGTTAAAAACAGACTTGAAGATTGGAATCAATGAAATTAGAAGGAATGGAGTGGAGGCCTTAAATATAAACTGTTATCTTCAAAAGCATAAAATTTGATCATTTTCTATATCTTCATATGCCTAAAAATTTGCAATATTCAAAAGAATCATGCAATAATATAGAAGCTTGGAGTAAAATCTTTATAAAAATATTTTGCGATCATTAAAGGAACCTGATTTACATCAGATAATTAAACTACCGAAGAAAGTTAATCGATACAAGATTTGTTGATATTTAGATTTAAATACGTGATTAGTGGTAGAAAAGATGAAAATCTTTTTTTATTTTAAACCTTAAAATATTTAATCATTGGTTGATCTGATCGAAAGACTTGACCACAAACAAATAAGACGTCAGCGTGTTCAGATATTCCGCAATGATCCACCACTGAATGCGAAACATGACTCACTATCAGAAACTGTGATTGATAGAGCTATCAACTAAAGAATGAAGATTACACTAGGTTACAGGACAAATATACCTCATCATTTCTTTATTCTGTCCAACAATGCCTTAGACATCATGAGGGAAAATATATTGTTTACCCTCAGTGTGTGGGAAATAGAAATTAAAAATACCTACAAACAGATGAAATTTCTTGATTTTTTTTTCCAGAAGTGAATATTTATATAGTAATAGCCTAAGTTAATAGAATAAAATTAAATTTGTTAAACTCACCATTCACTGACAATTAAAAAGTGAAATTAATCTTAATCCAGCCTTGAGATTTTTCAGCAAAATTCCAAACATCTGATGGTGATTATTTAAAACCAAAGTATTAGAATATAAAGTTATTCTAAGACTATGGCACCTGTCCTTGCAAGCGACCTGTATACCTCACACTCAGAAATAAATAATGAAAATCTATTGAAAACTTTCTGTTGATAAACATCAAATATTGTATAGTCTCCTTCTGTTCATTGTGCCACAGAAGTTTGCATGATGGAGAAAATAAAATTAGAAAGATAAAATCTGAGAGAATTAAAACACCATGTACCGTTACTAAATGTTGGTGAGCATACAGTGAACACAAACTGAAAGTAATTTTACTGGAAACTTGTGCTTTTGCCAGGGTGTCACCAATGGCTTAGTATACATACACATAAACTTGAAGCATGAAATAAGCTCTGAATGAACAAAAACTTTTCTGTTATAACTGATCAACATAAGAGATAAATTTCTTTATTTGTTCACCCAATTTTCCTTTCATCAATGAATTTTGACACAAGAGGTCAGAAAATTGCTTTTCCCTGTACCATAGATTTAGAAGAACTCACTACATGGACCATTCATGGCTACCATATATTAAAAGCAAACTCCCATTTGTGAATCTCATAAATTAGGAAAGCATGACCTTTCACAAAATGCTGGTTTATCACAATCACACATCATGAGGACCAACCAATACTATATCCTTTTGTCAGATAATATTTACAGCATAAATATAATATCCTCATCAACATGTACACATATTCAAACAAAATCAAAGCATAATTAACTTTCTGAACCCCTATTTTTAAAGTTGTTTCATATGGATATTACAGTTTGAACCATATCTTGAAATCAAAGTGATACTTCAAACAGGATTTTTCTACATTTACTCCTTTACGGTCAATCAAATTGAAATGGCTTGTTTCACTTACCTGAATATCAGCAGCAGTTTGATTATCTCTCCTCATCGGAGTGGTCAGCATTAGATGGTGGTGCTGTATTGCTTTAGTCTTTGTACTCCTAACTTCCGCTACAATAATATTTATTCCGTTAATCACCTATTTCTAAATTAGTGTCTTTGTAACGTGAACTCCAGGCATTTAATTCTTTAATGGAGACTGGCTAACTCGAATCAATTTGATCCTTATACAAATGTATCTCTTGTATTAATCAGATTTGCCACAAAAACGTACAGCAAAGAGGGAACAATGAATCCGGAATTGTGTAGTTAGAGACTGTCACAGATTTAATGTCAGTTGAAATAAATCTAATATCATTGTGTACATCTGACCTACCCCTGCGTGCCACCTTACCCACACACAAATTGTTTACGGCAAACTTCTGAACAAAAAATGCACTTCTGTGATCTTTTTTTTCATGGATGACTCTGGAAGAAAATAAATGGATTTTCGTAACATAGCTTTTACATAGTATCTATTTCAATAAGGGAGAAATGATAAAACTTCTAGTATACATGTACTTGACAATATGTTACCCTTCTTATTAAATCTGAATTGGAAATTTTAAAAATGAAGAAAATTCTGAGCAATTTTCACATTATAGATATCCCTACAACTTCTGAATTACACATGTAGTTAATCATATCAGCTCATCTATTTTATCAGCATCAGTTACTCAAGAAAGTGTTATAATTCATATCATGCATATAGACAAATAAAATTTGAACTCTGATGATTGGGCCCTATCTATTAGATTTTTTCCGCAGCAAATAAACTCTATAATACATTAACATAAGTTGGAATTAAAAAATTTAAAAAATTGAGTTCACCAAGAAACCTTGAATCTTTTTTTCCACTTAAAAAATCAAAACATATTTTACAACCACACAATGATTTTGTCTCCTTCTCTGCTATTGTCTGTCCCACCTATTGTTGTCAAGGGTTAAAAGTGTATCTCTATCAATCTGCCAATTAAATGAATTAAACGGAGTGGACTGGTTGACTCATTAATGATTGCTCGTTAGTTTGATCAGGACCAATAGACAAGGTGATATGCATCTCATACATCCCTCCCAATGTTTAAAAACAGATTTATGATAATTCTTGATAACACCTGAACTTTGCTTCAAAGCGATTAAATGCTCCACTGTGCTTCAAAACATACCTATACAAGATTCGAGGGAGGTTTTGTACTACATGAATTCGTGTGTGGACCCTGAAAGTTAAGAGGGCTAGACATAAATTATGATAGAAACAGATATCATCTGAAGATTTTTTTTATGATAAGGATCCAGCAGATAAAATAGTGACAAACTCAATAGAATCTCACCTAAAATCACACCCTATCTGACAAGTTGTGAGAAGTTTGTCAGAATTAGTCTAATATAACAAACTCTGCTACATGCCTGATTCCGCTACAATAATAGGGACACAAAAAATCCAGCAAGCTATCCAGTTGTTTTAAATTGTCTATGATCCTAGGTCTTCTTGTCTCATATCTATAGATAAGAAATAAATTTCAAGGATAATCTAATGAATAAAAAATCCTTTATAGGTGACAATGCTACTTTTAAATTAAAAATTAATCCATGCTTTTTTTGGAATATTGACATATTGTCAGAATTCTACTTTTCTATTGTTTTGTTTGGTGTTAAAGAGGAAATTCCATTATTAATAAAGTTACAAAAATTTTTAGATTCAAGGTAAAAATTAAGTCATTTCAACAACACACACACAAAAAGTCGGATGAAATAAAACAATCCTACAAAATTGACCACACTATCTAGCATTATATACATTAAAGTCCCAAATCGTAACTCTTGTGATCATTTCATGCCATCAATACAGGGACAAGTCATGAATATTAAACAGTTGTGCGTAGTTAAAAAAGAACTAGAAATATAATTTTTTTCCCCTCAGTGATTGACAGGTTATTGCTACATTAGGTGCTTTATTGAGTTGTTACTCTCAAGAATAAAGACATCAAAACAAATTTTCCCAACATTGCTTTACTGATAACATCAGCTCATTAAAGGCAAAAAATTCACCTTTGTTAAAAATAAAATAAGACACAAAAAAATACAAATGAAGCCATTAACTTTTGGCAATGTAACAAACCTGGCCTAATTGTCATGACAATATTCATAAAATACAAATTGAATGTACATTTAGAAAATTATAGAATAGCAGGTGTTCCATAGAAACTACATAATTATCCATCTGCAATAGTTTTGGGGCATTTCATGATCTTCAATTCATGAAATATGTGCTGTACAGTAAAATTTACATACTAGCTGTCTCAAAGTGTCATTTTTTTCCACTTTCTAAACATACTGTTTCTAACTACTTGTGTTTTCTTAACCGATGCAAAATTGTGCTTGCTCAACAGTATATGCCAATAATTTTGGTGGAATGTTTTGGACCAACACAGAGTTCCTTGGAGTTGTGAACGAAAGAAACCTTGTATTTTAGATGAGTTGTCAGTATAAGGTCCATCAAGGGTGCATCCTTAGCAATTAAAATTTTAGCATACTTTTTCTTAACCACTAACATAAGCCAAAAGTAGCATCACATTAAAAAGTCCTATTATATGGTAATTAAGATAGGGCCGATAAATAAATTATACAATAAAATTCGTTTTTCATATTTATATAACTTTAAAGAGTCTTGCTTGAATTTTTTTTAAAATCAATTTTAAGTTACAAATTCAGTTGAATAAGAAGCATGCTACATACATGTAATAACTTCTGAAAAATTATATACAATACCAAAATGTCACAGCAAACTGCTCAGTAAATCTGTACATACAGAGCCCAGGTAAGTTGATCTCAGTTCCCTCTGAGTTCCAGACAGGTGAGAAATATGGTCACCTCAGGTGTCACAGAGTCCCCAAAGAAAGTTCTGATGAGCCCCAGCTGAATATGCAGCAGACATCATTAGCACCTGATCTGTTCTACTGGACAAATGACCGATGTGTCTAAATCTGTGTGTCAGATCACCTGTAAGGTACAACGAGTACATAAAAATCAAGGGTGGAAGGTGAGTTTACTCCATAGAGACTGGATCATATATCATTGAAATCTATATAGTCTGTCCCACCAAGTTACTGTAAGCACTTTTCGCATAAAATCTCAAAATATATAAATACCTTGGCTTTCAACCCAGTTCCGATCGATAGATCATTTTTTTTCCAACCTTCCGCCGTTTATCCGAACCCTCGAGGTCAACCAGTGTATACACACGGCGGCAAATTCAAAGTCTACGGAGATTTAACATGGTAAACTCGTCCATTGGCGTCTAGATTACGGGGCCGGGAACCAGTTTTCGAAGGGAGTAGTCGTCCTTTGCAAAGTAAATTTCCAAAAAATCGTTAAAAATTCAAGGAATTAATTTAAATTGCTTTTATCGATAATATAACTTTTACTTTGAATTAAAATAAATTTTAACAGCATTTAACAAATTTAATTATAAACTACGAGAAAATAGTCCGAATTTAACGAAGTACAACTTGTGGATAATGGCTGTGGGCATGATGATGCAAGCTTGCCAGGCGCAGTGTTTAAAACGTAAGTTGTTTATATATTCTATGGTACTTTTTGCAGCTGTTGTTGTTTTCCTAGCTTATATACACACAAGAAAGAAGTGTCTACAAATGCTAAGAATATGAATATATTTCAAAACGCGTGATATTGCTGACATTAGAACAACAGCTCTATTGTTAGTGCTCATGGTTAACCGTTCGTGTTCAGTAACGGTCTGAATGTAAGCCCATGTGTGGAATATGAAAAGGGGTGTTTCAGAACACGAATATGGTTAAACAATTAGGTGAAATAATACCAAAAAGAATATAACAGGTAGTTAACTTAGTAACTAAAGTTTTAAAATTTTATTCTTACTTTCATTTTCAATTTTCAATTTATAACATTCCATGTACATACTACATGCATTTGGCAAATAAATAATAAGCTAGAGATCTAAAGTGCATTTTTATTTTTTCCTTATGTGTAGTATCAACACCCTGGGGACATCAAAACAGTTTTCAATAGATGACACATTTTGCAATTATTTTTCAAATCTTTTTATAATATTAAAATGTGCATGTAATTTTTCATCAAGTCTTTGGATTGAGTTCTATAATGGTCATTTATCACAGTACATGCATGCATATTGATGAACTAATTAGCAGAACCAGGCATAACCCTAGTAGATGAATATGCACGTACTGTTTCAGAAAATAATGATTTGTCTTGACCTTGCAGTTTAAATGAGAAAGTAATTATATATGTAGTATTCATGAAAGGAAAACAGAAAAACTAAATAGAAGAACATGTCTGAATAGTTTGATCAGCACAAGAAGTTAAGATAGGCTGAATTATTTCATCTGAGTACAGACTTTAAAATAAAATTGATATACATGTAACATCAAAGGGAATCTTCCATTACCCGGTAATACTAGCTGTCATGCACATATTCAGAGTTCAAATTCTCAGTCTGGTCATCTCGAAAAAAAAAAAAAATTTATTGCCCTGTCCCAACCAACTGGCTAAAATGACTCAAAAAAATTTTTTTTTTTATCTCCAAGAAGCAATTAACTTTTTTTGTATTCTGGAGAACACATTATTAATTTATAACTAGTGCTAATTGTAACGGGGACCGTTACAGATGTTCCCCAAACGCTCCCCAACTCCCTTTTGGTGCCATATTCCCTGGAAGCTTCATTAAATTAGACAAACTCGATGCATTTGAGACTTAAAAACGTTTACCCAGAAGTGTACAAATTTCATTCAAATTTTAGCATTGCACGCGTGCGCATGTGAATGCATGTGCGCAATGACCATATCATCTTGTCTACACAATCTATATATTTTAATATACTTAATATTAAAGTATTTAATCCATAAGTATTAAAAAGATACGCTCATTCAATTGTTTTTTTTTATTTTGCTCATTTCACGTGCACGCACGTGCATACATGAGCATGGTGACCATACCTTCTTGTAGATGTCCGTTACATCTATCTATGTTCTAAATCCAACCCGTTTGGTTGAAAACCAAGGGAGTTATAGCTGTTTAAAGTTTCAGCCAATCAGATTGCCGTGCACGTACATGCACATGTATGCATGTGCATGGTGACCATATTTTCTTGTAGTAGTCCAGTATATCTATCTATGTTCCAAATTCCATCCTGTTTGGTTGAAAATCAAGGGAGTTATAGCTATTTAAAGTCGAAGCCAATCAGATTGCAGCGCACGTGCATGCACGTGTTTTCATGATAATTGCTATATATCAAGTTGTAGGATATATTAATGCATGGCTATTTTCAAAATTTCAAAGGATTTCGTCAAAAAACAAGAAAGATATTGAGACTTTAGTTTCAGCCAATCAGAGCAAAGAGCACGTGCATGCGCGTGAGATCTTGCTATTTCGACCATGTCATATTGTCTATGCTACTAATATATCCTTATATTATAAGTTTCAAAGCATTTCATCAAAAACTTAAAAAGTTACGCCTATATCAATTAAATCGGTCATTACACAGGTTGCACGTGCACGCTCTTGCAAGCACGTGCGCGCAAAATGACCTTCGTTCCGCAAATCTACATAACATGTCTACTGACCCTAAAAACATTTCACCTTAGTCGGATGTATAGTTTACGAGATCATTCCCGGACAAAAAAGTACCCAGGAAGAAGAAGAAGAAGAAAAATAATAATAATAACTAGTGCTAATTGTAACGGGGACCGTTACAGATGTTCCCCAAACGCTCCCCAACTCCCTTTTGGTGCCATATTCCCTGTAAGCTTCATTAAATAAGACAACCTCTATGCATCTGAGATTTTAACAACATTAACAAAGAAGTGTACAAAAATCATTTAAACTTTAGCATTGCACGCGTGCACATGTGAATGCATATGCGTCATGACCATATCATCTTGTATACACAATCTATATTTTTAATATACTGAATATTAAAGTATTTAATCCAAAATTATAAAAAAAAAAATTCGCTCATTCAATTGTATGTTTCATTTTTCTCATTTCACGTGCACGCACGTGCATACATGAGCATGGTGACCATACCTTCTTGTAGAAGTCCATTACATCTATCTATGTTCTAAATTCCACCCCGTTTGGGTGAAAACTAAGGGAGTTATAGCTGTTTAAAGTTTCAGCCAATCAGATTGCAGCACATGTACACGCACGTGTATGCATGTGCATGATGACCATACCTACTTGTAGAAGTCCATTATATCTATCTATGTTCCAAATCCCATCCTGTTTGGTTGAAAACCAAGGGAGTTATAGCTGTTTAAAGTTTCAGCCAATCAGATTGCAGCGCACGTGCATGCACGTGTTTTCATGACAATTGCTTTATTTCATGTTGTAGGATATCCTGATGCATGGCTATGTTCAAAATTTCAAAGGATTTCGTTAAAAAACAAGAAAGATATTGAGACGTTAGTTGCAGCCAATCAGAGCGAAGTGCACGTGCATGCGCGTGAGATCTTGCTATTTTCACCATGTCGTCATGTCTATACTACTAATATATCCTCACATTATGAGTTTCAAAGCATTTCATTTAAAAATAGAACAGTTGTGGCTATATCTATTATATTGGTCATTTCACGTGTTGCACGTGCACGCTCTTGCAAGCACGTGCGCGCAAAATGACCTTGATTCCGCAAATCTACATAACATGTCTACTAACCCTAAAAAGGTTTTACCTACATCGGACGAACAGTTTACAAGATCATTCCCGGACAAAAAAGTTCCAGGAAGAAGAAGAAGAAAAATAACTAGTGCTAATTGTAACGGGGACCGTTACAGATGTTCCCCAAACGCTCCCCAACTCCCTTTTGGTGCCCTACTCCCTGTAAGCTTCATTAAATAAGACAAACTCGATGCATTTGAGACTTTAACAACGTTTGCCCAGAAGTGTACAAAGTTCCTTCAAATTTTAGCATTGCACGCGTGCGCATGTGAATGCATGTGCGTAATGACTATATCATCTTGTCTACACAATCTATATATTTAAATATACGAAATATTTAAGTATTTAATCCAAAAGTATTAAAAAGATATGCTCATTCAAGTGTTTTTTTGATTTTGCTGATTTCACATGCACGCACGTGCATACATGAGCATGTTGACCATATCTCCTTGTAGATGTCCGTTACATCTATCTATGTTCTAAATCTCACCCCGTTTGGTTGAAAACCAAGGGAGTTATAGCTGTTAAAGTTTCAGCCAATCAGATTGCAGCGCACGTACATGCACTTGTATGCATGTGCATGGTGACCATATTTTCTTGTAGTAGTCCAGTATATCTATCTATGTTCCAAATCCCATCCTGTTTGGTTGAAAATCAAGGGAGTTATAGCTATTTAAAGTTTAAGCCAATCAGATTGCAGCGCACGTGCATGCACGTGTTTTCATGACAATTGCTATATATCATGTTGTAGGATATACTAATGCATGGCTATTTCCAAAATTTCAAAGGATTTCGTCAAAATACAAGAAAGATATTGAGACTTTAGTTTCAGCCAATCAGAACAAAGCGCACGTGCATGCACGTGAGATCTTGCTATTTTGACCATGTCATATTGTCTATGCTTCTAATATATCCTTATATTATAAGTTTCAAAGCATTTCATCAACAATTTTAAAAGTTATGCCTATATCAATTAAATCGGTCATTTCACATGTTGCACGTGCACGCTCTTGCAAGGACGTGCGCGCAAAATGACCTTGATTCCGCAAATCTACATAACATGTCTACTGACCCTAAAAACATTTCACCTTAGTCGGATGTATAGTTTACGAGATCATTCCCGGACAAAAAAGTACCCAGGAAGAAGAAGAAAAATAATAATAATAATAATAATAAGAAACAGAGTAAAAACAATATGTTCCCCAACTTCGTTTGGGGAACATAATAATAATAATAATAATAATAAGAAACAGAGTAAAAACAATATGTTCCCCAACTTCGTTTGGG